CTTCCAGCCCCCCTGCTCTAACCACTGGGCCTCACTCCCCTCCCAGAGCTGGGAACAGAACTCAGGAGTCCCGGTACCTAGCCCTGCTGCTCTAACCACTGGGCCTCACTCCCCTCCCAGAGCTGGGAATAGAACTCAGGAGTCCTGGTACCTAGCCCTGCTGCTCTAACCACTAGACTCCCCTCCCAGTAAAACTCAGGAGTCCTGAACAGTGGGCTGGCAGCAAACAGCCTCTCAATTTTGGGGATGGATTGAATTCAGACGGGCTAAGCGAACTGCAAAGAAATGGGAAGGGGAGGATGGGGGGGAAGGAAGTGAAGTGGAAGGGGGCTGAGTGATGGCAAAGTGAGTGAGCATTGCCAGCAGATCCAGGGGAGCGATTATTCCCTTTTATTCGGCACTGGGGAGCCCACATCTGGAGTATTGCGGCCAATTCTGGGGGGCCCCGTACAGAAGGGATGTGGACGCATTGGAGAGAGTCCAGTGAAGGGTGACAAAAATGATTCGGGGATTGGAGCACTTGACCTATGAGGAGAGGCGGAGGGACTGGGGCTTGTTTAGTCTGCAGAAGTGAAGAGTGAGGGGGGATTTGAGAGCAGCCTTCAACTTCCTGCAGGGAGGTACCAAAGAGGATGGAGAGAGGCTGTTCTCTGTGGTGGCAGATGGCAGAACAGGGAGCCATGGTCTCTAGTTGCAGGGAGGGCATGAGGGGTCGAGGTTGGATATTAGGGGAAACTATTTCTGTAGGAGGGTGGGGAAGAACTGGGGTGGGTTCCCTAGGGAGGGGGTGGAGTCTCCATCCCTAGAGGTGTTTAAGTCTCGGCTTGACAAAGCCCTGGCTGGGATAATTGGGTCGGGGTTGGTCCAGCTTTGGGCAGGTGTCTGGACTCGATGACTCCTGACGTCTCTGCCCACCCTAGGAGTCTGTGATTCTATGAATGGTGACATAAGGCGTAACACGGTAAAACAAAATAAAATCTCCCTTATGGCGCCATTTTTGTCACCTCTCAGCAGCCCATGCCCCAGTGACTCACCCTCACTAAAGACACAGCCTATTGAAAGATCACCACCTCGCACGAGAGATACTCTCTCTGCTGGAGACGCAGCATCCTTATGACGAACTATGCAAGAAGATCGGATGGGGCAACGGAAGAACAGCTGACCTCAAGGGAACATACTCTCGCTTACATTCCTCAATCCACCCGACCAATCGGTCCATCTCGGCAGGAGAAGTTTGGCTATACTGATGACCCATGCACTGCTGCCCAGGCCAAAGATCCAGGCTGAAGTTGTGTTACCAGTAGCGCAATCCAGGGTCTCAATCGGTTACACCAAGAACCGGCTGCGTGCCAGCCCAGACAGAACACAAGTGAATCTCTTCCCTCAGTGCAGTTATGAGGCTGGGAGCCAAATTGACATCTGGAATGAGGTACCCCTTGCCCGGTGCGGGGTTCCTGCCTGTTTTGGAGTGATGCCTGCCTGTACTCTCTTTTGAGGTCCACATGTAGGGTTGCCCGGTGACCAGTTTTGTACCGAACAGTCCAGTATTTGAGCTTTCTGTTCGGGAAAAAAATTGAGAAACTATAATTGAGTAACTAGAACTGTCCAGTATTTTCTCAATCAGACGTGATGTGGATTGTGATGTAATGTCAAGTGTGTCCAATATTTTTGTTGAAACCATCTGGCAACCCTACCCACATGGAGAAAGTGAAAGGCAAAGCTAAGTGCCTTGGACTTCAGGGCTCTATTCCCAGCTCTGGTAGCGGAGTGTAGGGTTACCAGATGGGTTTCAAAAAAATACCAGACACGTGATCTCAGAATGGGAGGGGGAGGGCGACCGGCCGGGAGGGGAGTGGGGCTGGCTGGGGGAGATCAGAGAAGGAAGGAACCGACCGGCGGGGAACAGGGCTAGCTGGGAGGGGGTTGGGGGAAGCGGGGCTGATCAGGGGAGACTGGCGGT